ATGTGCACAACTGTGCATGTGGGTGTGCCAGTGTAAAAAGCAGGAAAAAAAAAGAGAGCTGCTTTAGAAGCTCACTGTGTATATGCATATGCGTGTATGTGTGTGCATGTGCATGTGTGTGGGCCAGCATATGCACAAGCATGTATGTATGTGCACAACTGTGCATGTGGGTGTGCCAGTGTGTGCAAACCCATGTACCTATGTGCATATGGTGTGTATAAGCATATGTGCATGGGTGCTTATACATGTGTGCATATATATATGTGTGTGCATGTGTACATGGCTCTCCTATCCTTCCTTTTTCCCATCCATGGACAGAGGCCAAAGGATGATGAGGAATCAAGAGGCAGGCAGGAAGATGCTTCCTCTTAAAATCCTAAGAATGCCTGGGGAATCCCATAACACTCCCTTCCTCCTGATACTATTGCTGCTGCTGTTATAAATGGAAATGAATGCAGCTCTAGTCCTATTCCTTTGGAACTCCCTTTGCACACAGTGGGAATGTAATAAATACTTGATGATGGTTTTGAACCTGCAAAGCCAGCAGCTGTTCCCAGCTTTGACGTCCAGAGCCCTATAGAGCAAATCAGGAAGGGAACAACCATGGGGGTCTTTAGTGTCCCTGCCAGACCCTCCTGGTGACTTCCACCTGGCTGTCAGGGAAGGGTCTGGAGGCATGGTTTACTTCACACATCCTGCTTTGGGAGGCCAGTTCTTCTTTGACACCTTTCCTCTGATTCTTTCTCTCCCATAACTTGAACAACATGGAAAGCAACCTGGCAGATGACGTGGGAGCTGTGTAATCAGATTGGCCTGGGTTCAAACCTAGCAATGTTAATTACAAGCTGGGTGACATTTGGCCAGTTGCTTCTCTGTGCTTGAGTGTTTTTTTGTTTTTTGTTATTGTTTTTTTGTTTTTACAGTTTTCATCCGTAAGAGGAAAACGATGACATCATTTTCAGAGGGTTGATGTGAGGGCTAGAAATAACAGAGAGGTGCCTGCACGCACATCGCAGGTGCACAGTCACAGTAGGTGACATTATCCACCTGGTATCACCATCTTGTAGGGTCCTGCCCTGCAGCTATGACCTTTAAGTTGTTACTCAACATCTCTGAGCCTCAGTTTCCACCTTTGTAAAATGGGAACATGATGCCCACCTCCTTGGGTGTTTGGAGGATGTAATAAGATAACGTGTGGAACACCCTATTGTAGCTGCTGGCCATTAATAAATGTTTGCCTCCTTTTCTTTCTGGCCCTGCATCAGAATGCACAGCTCCCCTCCTCAGGAGGCCCTCTGCTTCCCTCCGAACCACCCTGTGAGGGCTTACATGCCTTGCCAGGTTTTGCCATACCTGTGTCAGAGGAAAGAGGGCAGCTGCCTCAGCTCCGGAGTGGAGGAGCAAAAACTACAGCTCCCAGGCCTCGCTGCGTTCTCACTGGGGCCTGGGAGTTGCGGGCGGCAGGCCCCGCCTCTGGGGCGGAGCCTATGTGGGGGGTGGAGTTAGGAGGTGGTTGGAGAGTTAAGCCAAGCCAATGAGACCAGCTGCTAATAAGTGGGCTTGGCTTACAGTATTAACAGTGGCAGGAGGAGGAGAGCAAAGCTATAGAGCCAGCGAGGAGTGAAGCTGAGCCTGCCCTCGCACGCTCCTAGAGGACCACCTCCTGAGACAGAGTTCTTTTTTCCTCTCTTCTTCTTTCTCCAAGCTCCCCTTCTGCACTCCCTCCCTGCCCAGTACAATGCATTCTTGAGTGGCAGCGTTTGGACACCAGGCAGCCCCAGAGAACCGAAGCAAGCCAGAGAGAGGACTGGAGCCAAGACACTGGTGGGGGAGCTTGGATGCCTGGCTTTCTTTGAGGACATCTTTGGAGCGAGGGTGGCTTTGGGGTGGGGGGTTTTGCTGCAGGGAATCCAGCCAGGCCCCAAGATGGACACTTCTGGGCACTTCCATGACTCGGGGGTGGGGGACCTGGATGAAGACCCCAAGTGTCCCTGTCCATCCTCTGGGGATGAGCAGCAGCAGCAGCAGCAGCAGCAACAGCCACCACCACCACCACCAGCGCCACCAGCAGCCCCCCAGCAGCCCCCAGGACCCTCGCTGCATCCTCAGCCTCCGCAGCTTCAGCAGCAGCAGCAGCAGCCATCGCATCCCCTGTCTCAACTCCAGAGCCAGCCCGTCCACCCTGGCCTGCTGCACTCCTCTCCCACCGCCTTCAGGGCCCCCCCTTCATACAACTCCACCGTCATCCTCCACCCTTCCTCCAGGCAAGGCAGCCAGCTCAATCTCAATGACCACTTGCTTGGCCACTCTCCAAGTTCCACAGCTACAAGTGGGCCTGGTGGAGGCAGCCGGCACCGTCAGGCCAGCCCCCTGGTGCACCGGCGGGACAGCAACCCCTTCACGGAGATTGCCATGAGCTCCTGCAAGTACAGCGGTGGGGTCATGAAACCCCTCAGCCGCCTCAGCGCCTCCCGGAGGAACCTCATTGAGGCCGAGCCTGAGGGCCAGCCCCTCCAGCTCTTCAGTCCCAGCAACCCCCCTGAGATCATCATCTCCTCCCGGGAGGACAACCATGCCCACCAAACCCTACTCCACCACCCCAACGCCACCCACAACCACCAGCACGCCGGCACCACCGCCAGCAGCACCACCTTCCCCAAAGCCAACAAGCGGAAAAACCAAAACATTGGCTATAAGCTGGGACACAGGAGGGCCCTGTTTGAAAAGAGAAAGCGACTGAGTGACTATGCTCTGATTTTTGGGATGTTTGGAATTGTTGTTATGGTGATAGAGACTGAGCTTTCTTGGGGTTTGTACTCAAAGGTAGGGGCTGCGGTTTCTCTTTATACCTTGAACAAAAGACATATGTAGGTAGTGAAAGAATGAGAGAGAGAGAGAAAGAGAAGGAGAGGGAGAGAATGAGAGAGAGAGAGAGAGAAAGAGAGAGAGAGGTGGTGGTGGGTAGAGGCGTTTGCTCAATTCTATTGAACACTAACTTCCCATGGTTTTCCTTCTTAATCCTGGGAGAATTCATTCCTCGCTTTCTTTAGGGGGGCATCCCCATCCACTGTGTCTAATTTGCAGACTCTGTGTTAGGGAGGATTAAAGGATCCCTTCTGAGAAATCATTTTTTTCCTCCTGGCTCACTTGTACTAAAGCATAACCCAGCAGCTTAACGCACCAATTAATTACACTCTGCCTTGATGTGTTTGCCAGTTCCTGCGACTTCCCCTCCTCTCCTCCCCTCCCTGCTCCACTCCATTTTCCTGAGGATAAAAAGAAATAAATGTCTGGGTGGGGGGTGGGGATCCCAAACCATTCCCCTTCCCTTCCTGGCTTCCCCCTCTCGCTTCCCAAGTTTCTCTTTTCCTCCTCTTCCCCGAGAGACTCCAGGCAAAATAGAACAGCACCCGTGACCCAAGTGTCTCCCCTGGGGGCATCAGGGTAAAAATACAGGCGGAAGAAATCAGCGCCCCATCCCTCAGGAAAGAGGACTCAGAATAAACCTGCTGCTGCTTCGTAAACATCCCCTGACAAAAATGGCTACAGGTGTTACCCAGGGAGAGCAGATGGGCTCCGCCTTGGCATCAGGGGGTGGGGGGAGCACCTCTCCTTCGGATGGGATGACAGGTTTGCTGGTCAGTCCCCACCAGCCTGTGCCCCTGGTTCAGCCTGGCTCCCCCTCCCACCCCAACTCCTTCTCCCCAGGATAAATAAAGATGAGTGTATGTATGTGTGTGTGCGCGTGTGTATGTGTGAGTGTGTGAGGGTGCGCTCACACGGAGAGAACGGCAGGGATCGGCTTTGGCAGGGGAGCTGGCCTGCAGCTCCAGCCCCCAGACGGAGGAGGGGGCTCCCTCCCAGAGGGGCTTGGAAAGGAGTCCTCCAAAGGATGGGGATTGAGGAAGGTGGGTGTCTGTCACTGCTCTGTGTGCCGGGAAGCCCTCCTGCTGCTGGCTGGCAGGCTGGGGTACCTGGGAATCATCGGACAAGTGGATTTCCCCCCACTCTGCCCTCACTCCCAATTTGTTGGGGTGTGTGTGTGTGTGTGTGTTTCTGCTTGTTGCTTGGATTTCTCTATTTAATTGTCATTTTGGGCCAGGGCTGGTCAGGCTGGCCAGTGGGGAGCTGGGAGGGGTTCAGCTGTTGGAGGTTTCAAATAGAGCTTGTTTCAGGCAGGGCACAGCTGTTGCGAGACTGTCACATTCCTTGTTGAAATCCAGCCGCAAAAACCTAGGAGGTGCTGATCGGATTTCCCCCATTCCCAGCCCTGTGCTCTTGGCCAGGGATGGAGACGGGTGGGGCCGACCTGTCAGATGGCCTGAACAGCCAGAGCCAAGACTTTCAGGCCAGGTCCCAGGGACCTGACCATGGTGAGGGAGCCACCCGGGCCTAGGGTAGTGCCTGGAAGCTGTCTTTGCCTAAATAGCTCAAGGATTGGAGCCCCCCAGTGAGCAGGAGCGAGTGGGGTTTCCCCTGGAAATCGCAGCTCACTTAGTCATCCCCTGTAATGAGGCTCTGAGTCTGAGTTCTGCTTGCTGCCTTCTCAGAACCACCTCTCCCGCTGGGCGCTCGGGGGAGATGGGGCCACGAGACTTGTCAGGGCTGGCTGCCACTCTGGCCACAGCCTGGCTCCCTCCAGCTGTTCTGGGGATCGGGATCCCTGACTGGGGAAAACTGATGAAGGCCTGAGTGCTGAGGGGAGGGAGGCAAAGGCACCATCAGCACCTCCTCCTTCAGTGACCCATAGTCAGGGCTCTTAAGGAAAGGACTCTTCCTAGAGACAGTGGCGCTGCACGGTGTCCAGTGCAGGTTCCATGCACATTTGTCTTAAGTATGATGGGAGGGTTGCACTGGGCAGGAAAGGCCCTCTTCCCTGCCTTGAGCAGGTGCCACCCTGATGGCACTCAAGAAAATGGGACTTCCCCAGAGCTGAGGATGGTGGACTCTGGGTGAGCAAAGGGTGAGAAGTCCCAAGATGCTTGGCTTCATCCATTTCTGAATTGCTGATCCTCTGACTGATAGCAGCATGTGGGGGTCCTGTCTCAGCTGGTGAGATGACCACATCCTGTGCATTTTGGTTGTGATCAGCAGGACTCACTTAACTTATTCACCTGCCCACCCATCCCTCCATGTATTGAGTTATTTATAGAACAAGTGTATTCTGGTTGCCTTCTAGGTGCCAGGCCCTATGGATACAGGAGGGGGCAAAGTAGACATCTCCTTCCACTCTTGGGGGCTTTAAAGAATCGGAACTAAATTTGAATCCCAGCCCTGCCGCTCAGTTGTGTGATCTTTGATGAGTTGTGTAGTTTCTGTGAGCCCATTCCCCCAGCTGTGAAATGAGGATGGTAGCTCCCCTCTCTTAAGGTGGTTGTGAGAATTAACTAAGTGGACCAAAAAAACCAAACCAAACTCACTGCTGTCGAGTTGGATCTGACTCATAGCGACCCCTCCTTGGGTTTCTGAGGCGGTATCTCTCTGGAGTAGATTGCCCAACCTTCCTTCTGAGGAGTGGCTGGTGGGTTTGAACCACCAGTCTTCTGGTTAGCAGTCCAAATGGCTTAGGCACTACGCCACCAGAGCTCCCCAGTGGCACTGCAGATGAAAGGCCTAGCTGTTTCTGTAAAGACTACAACCAAGAAAACTGTATGAAGCAGTCCTACTTCGTAATACATAGGTTGCCATGAGTTGGAATTGACTCTATAGCAACAGGTTGATTTCTATTGCTATTGATGATGAGAGGAAAAGAGTGGTCCTTTCTTGTCTAACTCTGGCTCTATAAATTAGTTGAGACCTTAACAGGCTAGGAACTAAAGTTGGTTAATGGAGAGAGAAGCTGTGTCTTAGAGGGGAGAAGCTCTGAGAAGGGACTAGAGTCTGACTGGTGACCACCTTTAAGCATGGGTCTGTTGTGGGGGGAGTGGACATCCGTCCCTGGTCTCATGGAGGAAATGAACACAATTGTGGCAAGAGGGTTTGTGTTAGAATGAAGGAAGAATCACCACCTGGGAGAACTCAGAGATGTTCAGTGGGCCCTGGGGAGGTCTGGGTGGCAATTTCTTTTTTGGGAGAAATTTGTATGTCTGATTGGTTTTGCTGACCAGTCTGGAGGCAGGAGGATGGACAGGGTGACCTCAGGTACCCCCTGTCAGATTGGGTAATTCTGCACTGATGAAGACAGGTCCCAATGAAACGCCATTATAGGAAAGGGATGCACTTGTTTCCCCCCAAAGTAATTCAAGATGTACCGACCTTCTGCCTGGGCTGCTGCTTTTTGAAGTTCTCTGCTTTTCTCCACGAGGATGTGTCCTTCCTGTTTGTCTTTCTTTGGCTGGTAGTCTGTTATTGGGGAAGGTGTCCCCCTCCCTTCCCCCACAGGCCTGGCTCTCTCCAGAAGGAATGCAGCATGTCCACTGAGCATGTTCAAAGTTAATGCAAAAGGGAACCAGAGTGAGGAGGTGAAAAATCGGGGCAGAGCGATTCCAGGCTCCCACCTTCACCGGCTGTAGGCGATAACATGGGGAAAGAAGCTCAGCTGAGAGTTGTGAGGTATCAGCCCTGAGCAGGGGAGGTAGGGCTCAGTTCCCAGAGAAGTGTGAGCTGTTCATTATTCACCTGGTGCCCTGAGGCCAACTGGCAGAGGGATGCCTGAGATGGCTCTAACAGGGCTCTTGAGATACCCCTAATGTTACTGGGCTATCCCTGAATTGCATGAGTATTTTAGGTTTAGCTTATTTATTATTTTTTTCTTTTAATGGGTGGATTTATTCTCTGAGGGTTTAGGTGCCATGATAGGGCCAGGTCTAGAGTTCCTGTTGAGAAACCTTAGTCACGCTGCCTCTACCATATCACTGACAGGATTAGGACAATGAGGGTTTGAGGGGTCTTTAAGTTCTTCTTAAAGGCAAGGCAGTCTGCTTCTGTAAAGGTTTACAGCCTTGGAAACCCAATGAGGGTCATGATGAGTTGAAATCAACTTGATGGCAGTCAGTTTGTTTTTTAAGTTCTTCTTGGCATTCTTTATTTTCTTCCAGGGCTGGTTTTGGGCACACCCAGTTCATTGTTTTAGGCTGTCTGCTGGGCTCTCCTCCTCACTGGGTCTAGAGAGAGTTAGGGTAGGCTCTCCTACCCCCACCCTGCCATCCTACTGGTGGCTAAGCTGGCACCTCTGTCTGGCTGGCAAGTCACTGGTGGGTCTTGTTTCCAGGGCCTCAGGTTCTGGGCTGTGGGCCGTCTCAGGGGAGGCTGGAAAATGCTGGTACAGCAGGCGGCTCTCCTTTCCCACCATTTTTGTACAACCTCAAACCACTTCCCCACCCCCGGCCTCTCAAGTGGCCTTAGTTTCACCCCCTAGGCACAGCTGGTCCTCTGCCTTCCTCCTCCTGCCCTGCTTCTGCCAGTCCCACTGACTTCCTGCCCCTCTGCTCCTCCTGCTTGGTCTTGTTGCTGGGGCAACCGCAGGACAAGGGC